GGATGTGATTCCTTGTCTTGAAAGACTGACGTAGGTGGTATTTCACCAGGTGACTTAAGATACATTCGTGTTTACAATTAGCTTAACATTGACTTATCGCCGCTCAACTGTTCTTTTCATTTTGGAAACATTCCAGGGACAATTTTTCGTACTTCAGCATGGTATCGTCAAGATTTTTCAGGTCTAGGCATCTCCAGACAATTTGCAGTTGAAGTTATCCAACTCCTGACACAAAGGTACTCTTTGACTTTACTGGGGAAGGGAGCTGATCCCTTCTGCTGGCTCTCCAAATGGTTGTGTTTAGCAGGAGGTGCCAGCAGCACCACAGCTCTCCAATGCACTTCGTAAGAACAGAAAGCCATCCGTGTCCAAAAACCAAGGGGTTCTTTGCCAGGTAGCACTGATGGGCTGTGTGTTTCCTTTCACAGGTACCAAAACCAAGGAAGGCGTAGTGCAAAGCGTGACCTCAGGTAAGACCACAGCCCTGAGAGAGATGCGGAAACCTGTGAGGTGTTGCTGGACCTCTTGATGAGACCACAGCTCCTGCCAAATGGAAGGTCTCTGCGGGACAGCAGTGATCTGTGTGACTTTCCATTTGGTGAATGAAGGATGCTTGCCAGGAGCAATGGTTCAGGGTCTGGCATTTGCAGTGCACATACATGAGAGAAAACATTTAATCAGTAGAGCAGGTCAAAAAACATCTGAAAGATGTTACTTGGCAGACTCAGATGATTCACAGCAATTTAGACCTTTCACAATGTCGAGGATGCTGCCTGGCATGCAGAGAGGATTTACTCACATTGGATCCTACCAGGCCAAAACTGTTGTCTCTGGGAGACTCCTGTCAGGCAGTCCCAGAGTCAGAGACCCAAAGGGATCTTTCTAGGTATCCCAAGCTCCAAGGCAGGGCAGCTGAGTGGACTGCCTTGAAGTGAGATGAATGCATCCTTTCCCTGGAGAATTTGATGATTAATTTAATTTTTTTCCTCAGGTGTATTAAATCCAACAGAAGGTGCCCTGAGAGAGGTCATATGCAGTCTGCAATGCAAAATACCTTATCTGCACAGTTGTCTCTTAGTATCTCACAGTGAATTTTTCATTCTCCAGTTGCCCACAAAACCTGACAGGCTGCAGAGCTGCTCTCTGAACAGCATTTTAAACCAGGAAAAACCCCCATGTACATAATCTAAATTCAGATGTGATCTCATATAAAAGAAAAACTAAATAAGGGCTGTACCAGGGCCAATTTCTTCTCTTACCTCAATGCAAATGTTTTATTGTCCTAGTGAAGTTGGCAGCCTTTTGGCAGTGCCTGGCTCATTGACTTTCTGCTTTTGTTGCTCAGTTGCTGAGAAGACCAAAGAGCAGGCCAATGTGGTGGGAGAAGCTGTAGTAGCCAGTGTGAACACAGTGGCAAACAAGACTGTAGAAGGAGCAGAGACCATCGTGGCCACTACAGGAGTTGTAAAAAAGGTATGTTTGTTTCTTCAGTGATATTCGGCATGGAAGAGTCATCTATAGGTTACAGTTACTATATCACAGAATCATAGAATGGTTTGTATTGGAAGGGACCTTAACAATCATCTAGTTCTAACCCCGCTGCCATGGGCAGGGACACTTTTCACTAGACCAGGTTTCTGAAACATTTACAATTGGTGGTTTTACCTGCTCAGTGAGAGGTTTTCAGCAATGTCTGCTTTTATATAATGCTTAATATTACTGCATAATGATAACACAATCACAGAATCATTTAGTTTGGAAGGGACCACGTGAGATCATCTAGTCCGACCCCCTCAGGTTAATGAGAGCAGGTTGCCCAGGACTGTATCTGGTTGGGTTTTGACTGTCTCCACAGATGAAGATTTCTACAATATCCCTGAGCAACCTGTGCCAGTGTTTGACCGCTTTCATGGGAAAAAGTGTTTTCTATGTCCAGATGGACATGTTAATCAACTCATGCCCATTGTGTCTTGTCCCGTCAGCAGGCACTGCTGACGAGAGCCCAGCTCCCTGTTTTCTGATGAATGTAGGGAAGCATTCTTCCCAGGGACTTGAGCAGAAACACGTGCAGCCTGCAGTGGGCATGTGGCCAGGGTCAGAGGTGTGGGACGTGCAGAGCGTGAAGGAGCAGGAGCAAAGCCTTGCCCTCACACCTTGGCCCTGGCCCAGCGGCTCTGCAGGCAGCAGAGGGCAGCAGCAATTCAGGCACGGAGCCTGCCCCTCCTGCTCTGTGCTCACCTTGACAACAACTGGCTGATAAAGGCCACCGGACACAAATTGTGCACGGGTTAAACCAGATTAGGACAAGGCATCTTCTGTCCTCCCGCCTAATTTGACAAACTATGTTGCTTCAAGTGGGGGCAACAAAGGGCCATGTGAAGGAGCAGAACAGCCCCTTATATGAAGGCAGAGTTGATCATTAGAGAAGGTGCTTTACTGGGTGGTAACAAACTGCAACCATTTGTACTGTACTTGAGGCTAATACTTGGCAGCTCTTTGGTAAGCCTGGCTGCATTTCCTCTCTTCAGAGAGCTGTGATCAATGGCATTGATAGCGACATGAGCCACATGAGTCACAGCAAACCCAAACCCAGAATCAAAGCGAAGTGAGGTTGGCCAAAATTGTTTTAATTGTTCACAGAGTTTGCTGATGAATTTCCTGATCCACATGTAAACACATTGTGATATGAAACAAAACTTCTACACACCATATAAATCCTGAGAGAACAGCCTAACAAAAGAGACCAGCAGCTACGGGTGACGCAAAATGTCCTCCTGAAAGCGTGTGAAATCAGCAGATACAGAAGTTGTGCTAAGCCCTTGGGATAAGTTTAATCTCTGTTCCCTCAGGGAACAGCAGCTGAGCTGCAGCAGTGCAAACAGTGATTCCTAATTCCATGGGGCCAGACAACCCCCTCTTACCTTTTGGCTGACTGAGCGCAGGGTGGTTGACCTGGGAGAGCTAGAGGGTAGGAATCCATCCTCCTGATACTGAACTTATGGCAAGGACTGAGCAGCTGCAATAGTCTTCCTGTTTCGTCCTAAGTGAGAGCCCCCCTCAAAGGCTGATAACCTACAACTTACAGGTGTTAATTCCAGATCTCAAACCGGTCAATGTCATCTGCTTCTATCCTTGTGTGGGCAGGCTCTTGGAAAATCAGAGATTCTTTCACCCTAGTGATGGTTCTGGGTTATGCAGGCTGCAGGCAACATACAAAAGCTGTGAGTTTTCCAGATGTATTAAGCATCTGAACTGTCATTCTGGCATCTTTGCTGATGTCTGCCTGCATAGAGTTAAAATGGGGATTGATCAAGAAATGAAAAAGTGGGAAATGTCATGTGCCAAAGGGCAAAGTAAATGAGGGAGGCAGGAAACTGCTTTGGGTACAGTAACATGGTGTTACGCCAAACAGCAAAGGTGGGCAGCAGAAGGAAAACAGGAAAAACAAGGCAAAAGAAGTCACAGGCAAAAGAAATTCAGAAAAATGTTTATGTGAAAGAGGGGTCATCTTAAGCTCCCTTCCTACCCTAACTTTTCTATGATTCTATGATCTACTTTACTGGTTTTGTTCAGCTTAGATTAGGAGAGTGAATCTTGTAGTCATCCTCACTCGTCATACTTCAGTTGCATCTGCTAGATTCCTTTTGTATAGCAATAACATGGAAGATTGAGCTCCATATGCACACCAAGTGCATCCCAGCTGCTAATGGTTAATTGCCACAGAGCCAGAGCTGCTCTGGAGGGAGGGCACTGAAAGCAGCAGAGGGGTTGTGTTGGGCTCTCAGCACCAGCTGTTTTCTCCAGAGCTGCTCCTATTGTGCTGTACAATTTGCTAACAGAAAATACAGCCAGAGGCTGCCAAGAGCAGCACCAAGCACCACCATGCAAGTGAGCAACCCACTGGAGATAGATACACTAAGAAGAGTGATAAGGTATAGCAGTTACCTGTTTAAAAAATAAATACCTACTGTTATAATCTCACAATCATAGAATTATACACAAGTATTTCAGTTTGAGAGAGCTGTTACATCCAGCCCTGACGCTTGTTCATGCTCCGTCCCATCCTCCTTCTGCCCAACTGCAAAGAGCAGTTTCTAACATCTTATTTATGTTTTCAACTGTCTCCAGTGTTGTTCCGTGCTGACTTTATATAGGGGTGTTTGGAACACCAGAGAACCTGTGTGAATGCATGGCACTGAGCAGATTTGATGGCCTAGGACACATGTCGTTAGCTGAGCATTCCCATATTAGTATCAATTACAGAAAGCTTGTTGACATTTAATCTGTGCGTTTGACAGCTGGGGTCAGTGGCAGGCACATACTAGCAAGGAGTGGGGAATTCTAGGGATTCAGAATTAAGTTTTGCTTGAGGCAATAGCTGCAGGGTGTTTGAGCCCTGCGAGTGTATCAGGTGGTGACCTTGACCATAAGGAAGAATTCATCCCTTTGCAGAACATGGCAGGCACTGAAATGTGGACACATCTGGGGCAGTTGTCAGCCTGCTGCTCCTTGCTGTCCTCACTGGGAGCACTTGGAGCCAGGCAGAAGGGAACAGGGCTGAAATAACTCTACACCTGTGGAGGGGTGCCAAGCACCAGATGAGAGCAACCTCAAGTAGCACTGGCATCACCTAGTAGGGCTTTGGCACTGGCCTGGTCACTGCTGAGTACAAGAAAGTATCGGCTGATTTGGAGGACTTTTTAAGTATAAACTAAAAGATACGTAATTTAAGAGACTATAAACCCTCTGCAAGTTTTCTGATATGCAAAGGAATGAGACCCATCAGTAATGTGTTTTGTCTGTGCCTCTACACCCATTCCAGTCCCAAGGGGGAACATTAAGGGATTTCAGTGAGATAACCACCCACTAAACATCCTTGTCTTAGAAGAGGGTTAATTCTTCGTCTGCATGACACAGCACAAAGTTTGCTGCATTGCAGACACCACGGGGTTGGGAGCAAGCACATGTACCTACACACACACACACACACACACACACTCACAAAATGTCCCTCAGGGACCGGAATAATTTTCCCAGTAGCTGATGCTTCCCTATGCCCTCCACCTAGATCCTCCCTTAGATCTATTTGTCGTGTCAGTTTTTATATGGTTTAGTTGTCAGTTCATGGCTCTATCACTTTGAATTGGGTTTGATCTTTTTTTGATTTCATTAATTCTTTGAGCCGGTGTCAGCGCATTCACTGGATCACGTTGTTTCTGTCTGTGCTCAGTGTAGCGCATGTGTACGGCACCCGTGCCGCGGCCTGTCGCTTTCATAACAACTGCACGGTTTGAATATGAACGGGTGATGTTCATGGCCTTAATTCTTTTCCCTTAAACCCCGCGATGCCACTGACACTAAGACACTCGCACCGAAGGAATTAAAAGCAGAAACTCATGAGTGACTTCCCTATTTAAGTTTGTTTAGGCAGGGTGAGTGCCATTAGGAGAGAGTAACCAAGGGTGTCTGAGAGACCACCACGGGCAGAGCTGCTAAGCAGGAGAGCAGGGAAATCAACAACTGCACTAGCTTACAATTAAGTAGACTAAACAGTTGAAACTTTTCTCCTTTGTATGCAAGCTTCATCCTTTGTATTCAAGCTTCTTCACTGATGCAGTGATGCATCCCAGTGGTAACCTTCAGCATTCCATGGAGCAGGGGAGACTGCAAAAGCAGCGTGGAGTGGGGTACTCTGCCTACAGGCACTTTTTCTGCCCTCCCTATGTCTCATTAGTGCTTCCAGGTGTACATTTTTCACATGGGGTAGAGCTGAATGAGTGACACTGGTGAAGCCTTAAAGTCTGCAAGACTCTGTGCTTCATGGCTAAAGACCTGTGCCCCAGTAATTCTGTAGGATAATAATTTAAGCATTATTAAATATGTATTGTTTGTATAAGCAGCCCCAGGAAACCCTAAGAGACCCTGGCTGTAACTGGATGAAACCAAAGTTACCTCAGGAGTCCACCTAGATTCATACTCTAAGAGAGGAATCCTGCGCACCCGTCTGTCTGTCCGGCCAGTGGGTCCACTCACTTTAATCACGGGTTGACCTCTTAGTCAGAGCTGTCAGCATCACTCAGAGCACATTCAGCCCGAAACCCATCCAGGACAGCCTGTCCATAGGACCTGTCAGGTTGCCTGAGGCTTTACAAGGGAGTGGTTTGGGGATGCTGCCAAGTAGCATTGCTTTTGCTCCAACGCCCAAGGTCAAGAGCACTACAGGAGGCTGAACCTTCCCTGCCTTATGCAATTGATGTCCCATTGCGGGCTATTAAATCTGTAGCAGATTAAGTTCCCAGCAAACCTTTCTGGCTTTACGGCCTTAAATAATAACAATAACAATAATAATAAAAATAAAAAACAGAGAAATCTTGCTTGCCACTCAATTTGTTGAGTTTTTGATGAGTAATGTTCCGGCATCCAACATTTATACTCTGCATACTTTCTCTGTTAAATAAGGAAGATAATCCAGA